TCGTCGTCTTATGGCGGCACGCGAAGTCTCGACTCGTGAGAATCAAGCGGGATTTCGACCGGGTAGAGGCTGCGTTGACCACATCTTCACGCTCCGTCAGGTGCTAAAGCAACGCCACATGTACAGACGACCCAAAATCCTGGTATTCCTATATGATTCTATATGATTCTATCATATGATAACATCTGTGCTGAGTGCGTGAAGACCCGGAAGAAAACGAAGGGAGAACAGTTCTCCGAGCTTGCCAGTTAGCTTGTAACGTTTCGTCCTCAGTCAAAAAGAGTGTTCGGAGGCCAGCCGTCCCTAACAACCGGAAATCACATCATTTGGACGGATGTGTCAAGTGCAGGACACGGACCATACGAAGGTATGCCCTGATTGGTCAGAATGCCAGCCAATCCGAGTCGAGCGTCCTTGACTGGACGCTTCTCGCCCCCTCACGGTGCTTCTAAAACGACCTTGTGGAACACACTGTGATTACCCTATAAATACAGTTGTACTGATTTTCCTTTGTCTCTGTAAAGGGCTGTTCGAGGAAGCTCAAATGAGGCTTGTTGAATCTCTGATGCGCAGCATGTCGGTGAACGCGACAAAAACGACTGAGCCTCCGCCTTCTTCCCCAGATGCTGCTGCCAGCTCGATTACTAAATTTAATTTCGATGCTGAATCTGTGCCAACTTTAGAAAGTTGGTTCAAGAAATATGTACACACGTTTCAACCCGACTCCGCTCAGTTTGACGATGCATGGAAAGTTCGACTGTTGCTGTGGCAGCTGGGGACAGCTGAACACGATCGGTACATAACTTTCATACTCCCCAAACACCCTCGCGACCTTGGTTTCACAGATGCTGTCAAAATTCTGGCCCAAATATTTGGTGAGCAAAGTTCCTTGTTCAATATTCGTTATCAGTGTCTCAAGATTACCAAAAGGGATACTGAGGATTTCATCACATATGCCGGTGTGGTCAACAGAGAATGCGAGCACTTTCAGCTCAGCTCCATGGCCGAGGATCAATTCAAGTGTCTCATCTTCGTGGCTGGTCTTCAATCGCCACACGATGCAGATATTCGGACCCGGCTTCTGAATCAACTTGAACAGGAGCCAGGGTTGACGCTTCAGAAACTTACCACCGAATGCCAGAAACCTTATAAATCTCAAAGCTGATCCTGCAATGATTGGATGATCCAAATTCTCTCAGCCTGATACGGTATGCAAAGTAACTTCCAAAAGGAATTCAAATTCAAAACGAACTCCAAGAAAACCGCCCACACCCTGTTGGTTTTGTGGCGAATGGCACTATTCACGTCATTGTCCCTACTGGAACCACAGGTGCAGTAAGTGCAGTCGAAAGGGTCAATAAGAAGAATGCTGCAGAGACAACTTCAGGAGCTCGCGCAAACACCGACCCGACAAAAGGACGCAGGCAGAGGCCATGACCGCCACATTCAGGATGAAATCTCCTGGTCGACTTAAATTGGTCACATTATGTATCAATGGCACACCGGTTATCCTCCAACTGGATACAGGTTCTGACCTCACTCTGATTTCAAAACGAACCTGGAACGTAATTAGAAGGCCGCCAGTGGGACACAAAAAGTGCACTGTTCGTAATGCATCTGGTGGAAGCCTCAAGCTGACCGGGAAGCTGAACTGTCCCGTAACGTTCAAGGGGACTCAACTCAATTGTACTTGCTACCTCACGAATTATACAGGCCTAGATCTCTTGGGCCTGGATTGGATTAATGAGCTTCAACTGTTGGATGAACCCCTCAATACCGTTTGTGACGAAACAACTGCAAATGGCCCCGATACGTTCACGAGAACATCACGTCCTGACGATTTTGTGGTCGCCACAGTTACAGCCAAATCGGAAACCAGATAGGCATACGCGACACAGCGACTATTCAGCTCTTGGCGCCAGGCACCGGTAGCCCTCTCACCTCAGTCCGGTTTGGTGAACCCTGCCAGCATCCCGCAACTGAGTCCCGCCGACTGAGTCTGAATTAGTCGGACCTCATGCATATTGTTCCCTGCAATTTGCAAAGGAAACATTATTATTTAATCGAGTACCTCCCACTGTTTTTGACATTGTCCCCTTTTCACACAATCCTCACTACCCGCAAATCCCCCTATCATACCCCAGCCTGACTGTAAACGCATGATCATACCAGACGGTATGCCACCCACAAGTTGGGAATATACATTATTATTATTATTATTATTATTATTATTATTATTATTATTATTAACGTTTAACCCGTGGTCTGAACCCTTCAGGTTACAGTCGCAGGTTCAGGTGGATCGTTCTACTGCTATCCGGAAAGTCAAGGAAGGGAGGCCGGCAAGAGGGACGCAACAACAGTCACACAGAGACCAGCCATTGATTCGAAAATATGGGGAATGCTCCTCATGGTGGACGCAGGGTCGGCTAAGTCAAACAAGAGACACGCGTAAGATCATCAGCACGGTCGCGTCAAGTGAGCCAACTTCAGGCAATAGACTGCGGTTCGGTGAAAGGACCACGTGGCATGGGACACCGGACAGCCATGATGTGCCACCCAAGCGGAGGGTACCGGATCCCAGAGCGGCACGTACACAGCTCCAGCCACGGATTGAAATGCGACAGCAAATCCGTGAGTGTTCACAGTGGAGTTCAAAGCAGCAGTCGGTTGAACAGCCTTCTCAAGGGGGAGGTGTTCGGAAGCCAGCCGTCCCTAATAACCGGAAATCACATCATTTGGACGGATGAGTCAAGTGCAGGACACGGACCAAACGAAGGCATGCTCTGATTGGTCAGAATGCCAGCCAATCCGAGCCGAGCATCCTTGACTGGACGCTTCTCGCCCCCTCACGGTGCTTCTAAAACGACCTTGTGGAACACACTGTGACTACCCTATAAATACAGTTGTACTGATTTTCCTATGTCTCTATAAAGGGCTGTGTAGAGCTACCGTGCCTTTTGATATAACACAGTTGGCGGAGCAGGAAGCCAAGGGCCCGACACAGAGTTGCACGACTGTACATCAAGACACGACAAAGAGAGATGGTGCTTTTGATTGATTTGAAGTATGTTCTCTTGTACCCGTACATTCAACCGAAACGCTCGCATGGGACTGATTCGACGAAAATTCCACGGCTAAATCTCTTTCCCTCGTTCAGCTGTGACCCCCTTTCGGGGGGGGGGAACACAAGGACTGAGGTACTGTCAGATTGCCCACGGTTAGACAGAAGTAGTCAAGGTGGAGGGGTTCGGTTCGAATCACGGGCTTACCGGTTAGTAGCCATCCCAAGCAATGATTGACAAAGAAATGCTTCGCAGCAAAGCATATACACAAAGTACCGAATGCGCACGATTTTCATTACTGAACGAATTCTCGGCCCAGTCAATAATGACATCAGAATGGAACACACATTCAGCCGGAAAGCCAGCTGACTTGAAAATAGAACATTCTTACCACCAGCATTCATGGTGCGACGGAATGCCAACCTGGTTTGCCAGCCTTGAAATTGTTATTGGTAGCTTTCAAACATACCCTTTGATGTGTGCAATTAGTGAAACATGCAGTTCCATAGTTTCGGCGTGTCTTTGACCACGTTATTGCAGTCGCGATCGGAACTGTACCCAGATCACCTGTCAACCATCATTACAAGAGCCATACTGGGATCATTCAGCGTGATCAGTGTACGCTTTCTGCGTCAAGGAAGCACGGGAGAACAGCGACGCAGTTTACAGATGTATGCAATAGGAGCTCCATGGGCACACCAGGCTTCAGCAGCCAAACCGTCAATTTTAGAAGAACGAACATTCAAGATCATAGATGGAAAGAAGTGATAGGAAAGAATGATATCTAGTCCGCAGGGAGAGTTCTTGGCACCAGAAGCCCAGGGCCAACAAAAAACATGCGCGTCATAACCGATATCAGATCAGAAACGAAACAGCACCTGGCACTCCAGCTGCCATTTTTGAACCAAGACCCATGAAGAGCATTCTGAAGATATAAGTTTACTATTATGTCTATCTTTAACACTAGAATGACGAAGAACAAATTACGATAGACGCCGCAAGTCATCATTTCAATGAAAAGTGTTTCATCTCCAAAAGCATGCATGCTCGATCACGGGCATCGGGAATACAATTTGACACTTTTCTCCTTAGAACAAATGCTTGACACTATAATCCTAGATCGGTTTACACAGTTTCGAGTACAGCAGATATGCGAACATAAGAATAGTTGGTGGTATTCATCTTAGAGGTAGAAGAAAGGCTTGTGATTCCGACCCATATTATCTCGATGTATTTGTGCACTTATCTTAGCAATGAACACTCACCTTACCATAACGTTTTCAAGCTTGATGAGCGTCCGAACAAAGCGCTCGTTGGCGGACACTTACAAAATTTTGCTCCAATTTACAGAAAGGTGAACTTGCAGCTCACAAAAATCGCACCTTATTCACCGCAATTTTGAAAAACCCCATTCTCTTCTTTGCTGCGAACACACTGTTTTCCTGACGGCCTATAAGTATCTCGGGCTCATTTTCGGTGCCTCAGGTCGGCACCCTGACCCTGAGAACATACAAGCTATTCAGCAGATGCCGGCACCCAAGGATGTTCCTTTTTGAGTCTCATCAGTTAGTATTAAGCATTTCTGCCTGCGCTGCACAGTGTCCGGCCGCCGATCAATCACCTGCTGAAAAAGGACGCACCATGGGTTTGGTCAGAAGAACGTGAAGCAGCTTCTGCATGCTCATATCCATGCTCAGCTCCGAAATGCTTCCGACGCACTATGGTCCCAAGCTGCCAATTGTCGTGGCAGCCGATGCTTTCGCTTACGATGTCGGTGCTGTCATCCTCCACGTTTTCCCTAACGGAACCGAGAAGCCGATCAAGCATCCATCCAGATCGCCTAACCAAGTGGTATAGCGTTACGGCCAAATTGAAAAAGATACATTGGTGCCAGTGTTTGCCGTCCGCCGGTTTTACAAAATGACTTACGGCCAGCGATTCTCCTTCCTGATGGACCACAGGCTCTTGCTGTCGATCTTTGGCTCAAAGTCTGGCATACCCGCTCATTCGACAAATCGCCTGCAACGGTGGGCGCTCATCCTGCTTGGCTACGATTTCGAAATACAGTATTGACGCATGAAAAATTTCGGCCAGGCAGATACACTCTCGCGACTAGTCGAGTATCATACCGCGCCAGAAGAAGACTCCGTCATCGCGGCCTTATCTATCGATGACCACTCCAGCAGCTGCTCCAAACAATCCGTGCCTTACCAGTGACTATTCCGGATATCCACCGTGAAACTTCGGCTGATCCGAAGGTGCAACGAACGATGCATTTTCTCAGGATACGTTGGCCGACCAAACTCCTGGGGGAGAATCTCGAACCCGTTTTCTACCGTCGCGACTCCTTGAAGACCGTTGGCGACTGCCTCATGTGGTGGTACCACGCTGCTTACGCCATCGAGTCCTGAAGCAGCTTCATTCGGGGCATCCTGGGATAAGCCGAGATGAAAATAATTTCACGTAGCTTCGCCTACTGGCCACATATAGATCGTGACATCTCCGAATACGTCAAAGAGTGTTCGAAGTGTCAACAAGCCGCAAAGAACCCTCCACGCCTTCTGCCTGGCCTGGACCCGAACGGCCCTCGTCCCGGGTGCATATACCGGAGGCAAGGACCATTGCACTTGATGTGTTGAAGCACCATGTCAATTCGCGCGCGCAGTTCTGCGGGAAGGTTAGCGACAATCAGCACATCATAAAAGTATACGGGCACACCTGGAATGCCAGAGAAGATAGTGTCCATCAACTGCTAGGAGATCGAAGGGACCGTGGTGACCCCAAACGGCGGACGTTCGTATTCGTACAGGCCCCTATACGTGTTGATGGTTAGCAGAGATCGGGAGTCCGGGGCAACTTCGATCTGCAAATATGCATCAGCCAGGTCAAGTTTGGCCGCCGTTAATAATGGTGAATAAATCATCGGGCACCGGCAATGGGTAGTGGTGCTGTTCGAGAGCTGCATTGAGGACTCTTGAGAAATCGGCACCAATGCGGATTGACACACTTGGCTTCTTCACTACGGCGATTGGTGCTGCTCATTCGGAGTAAGTTACTGGAGATGTGACAACTTGTTGCTCGAAACGCTGCGGCAAAAAGGCCTACGGAACTGGTCTCTTAGGCGTGTTATGTATCGTAATCGGGTACGACCAATGGCTATACGCGACCTGAGAACGAGCGCAGGAATCCTCAGCCATGACACTAGCCCAGCCACTCCTAGCGCAGACAGAGATGGAAGACGAAGATCAGACCTTCAGAAGAGGCCTTTACTGCCTCAACCAGAGGCGAATTACGGCGAGAGCAATGTCATGCACATCCCGGGCTACCTTTGGGGAGAGATAAATCAGTTAGCGCACACAAAGTATAACTGGCCAATAGGGAGAGGGCTCGGTCTTTATCTCTCTCTGCGCTAAAAGTGGTTGGGCTCGCGTCATAGCTGGGGATTCATGTGCTCGTTCTTAGGTCGCTTATAGCCATTGATCGTACCCGATTACGATACATAACACACGCTCTAGGTCCTATGCATTTGGATCAGGAGAAACTCAGATGAGGCTATTTCCCGATCTGCCTATCAAAAATCCAACTTACCTTCAATAGTTTTTGTCCAGTGCAATATAAACGGCTCTTTTTCGTATCTTGCATCAATGGACTAGGCGAATTCAAACCCAGGACGCACTGCGTAAGGAACTCTAGCCGGTTGCATAAATACTCCTTGTTCCAGCGACCACTGGTATAGTTTAACTGAGAACCACTCTTCTACTAGCAACACGGAAAAAGATGCTCAGGTGCAGCACCCTTTCGGTACCTATCTGCCACACCGCCAGAAGGAAGCACGAGGACTGGGGTAGTGTCAGGTTGCCGAAGCGCAGACAGGGGATGTAGATGCAAAGGTCGGCTTCGAACCAGGAGTACCGTGGACTCCGAGGGGACATAATTCTTACTTATGCTCTATTTGAACAATGCTTGGAAAACAGGTTTTTACCGTTGAGACGGCAAACACATGGTGGGGACATAGCAAAAAATTTCTAATCTCAGTGCACACACATCCATTAGACAAAAATATTTCTCATTTCGGGTGGTAGGCACGTGGAATGACCTTACTCCGACGGTTGTCCACGCTCCTTCTAGAACCCAGTTTGAAGCACTATTAGACATTTATTTATGCGAACCCTCGCTGGCAAGCATATTGCCCTACGCTGAGAACATAAAGAGCAGTGCTACACCTTTTTTCACTTGTGCCTTTCGGGTGAGCAACAGCCACTGACCGATGAGAACAAAAGCGACCCGGGAAACTTGCGCAAAAGCCCCGATTCTGTGTACCAATCCGTGAATCGCTGATTGGTAGATTCGCGCTCTAACCACTGAGCTAACTCGCCCCACAAATAACACTGGTCTAAAAGCCAGATAACGCCAACAGTCTACCAAAAAGGACACCAGATGTTGTGCTAAACCGAACTCGCGTCACACGGTTGTGGAGCACAGCAGATACAAAGTTGACACCGCTGCCACTCATCACCACGACAAGGCTGAATTTATTGTTTTATTAAATCTACCGGTTTACCCGCAGTTGCTGCAAAATACATACCGGTTGGGAATGTGAGGAAAAGAGCATTTGCGGAATTGTATCTTAACCATGTCATGTGGTCCGAATCAGGCCTACTGCGTTTAACAACCAAGGAGAGTGCAACTGTGGGTCTCCAAATAGCAAATCGATCTGCGGATTTTTTCTCACGAGTGAAACAAAATGATGAGACAGGAATCGACACTGAACGTGTGTTTCGAAGAAAGAGTGGGACGTCTGCATATTGCAAGTATACGCTTTTGTTCATCTCAGTGTTATTTATAACTGTTATTCACGGCCACTTTGAATACGAACAAAGATGAAAAGAGTCCTTATTTGACAATGCTTGAAGCCTCGTAGCGTGAAGAAAGTATATCGTAAGTCCACACATGTTTGGGCGTAATCATCACTAAAAATAGGCTAGGTTGTTTCCGGTACCTCATTCTAAAGGAGAGAACCCTGCGTCAAATCCAGAAAAACTTGGAGGACCGGTCTTATATATTCACGGCGTAGATCCAACCGATAGTGTATGGTCAATGTAAACTCTCACATGTGGAATCCGTGCCCGATAATCACGGATGAGCTCTCCGTGAGACAATTGGGACAATAATTGAAGAATACCTCATACGAACAGCTCGAAAATGATGGTCAGGAAACCTACTTCCTAAAAATTATCATTCGATAGGTGGAACCTTCCTACAAACGGGAAACTGTGTAAACAAACTCCAGTCGAGTAGAATTCCATCGGCCCTGCGGGTATTCCTCACACTGATGCCAACCCAAGTAACAGAAAGGACCACTTGACTAGGAATTGTTCGGAAGATGGCTCTTCCTGACACATCGCTTTGAACAGTTTTGGATACTGAACTGTTCTGAGGATCGAGGGTATCTGTCTACTACTCAGTGGTCTAACATATGTAGACAGCCGGTAACCCGTTCAACTGTCATCTGAAGCCCTCGATTTATTCTTCGTTATGGTTCGCCACTTCTGCTGGATGCTGTTCCCAACAGGTACCCTTGGTGAGTTGAAAAAATGTGCAGGCATTTTCAAAAGCATTTACGGCTTCCATATGGGATACGGATCCGAACCATCAAGATCAAAGGTCTGCATTGTGACAGGCGCTGAATTGCAGTTTCGTTTGTTTGCACATCAAACCGTGGCAATGCTAGGCGAAAAGGTACTTTATGGTGCTCATCGACGACAAAG